CATTAGCGAACTAATCTGCTATTTCCCAGCCTGATCGCTGCGTCGTTTAGCGCGATGATTATCGTCAATTAATCGAAAGGGAAATTTAATTTAGAATGGATGCAATTACACTTCAAGGGGTATAATAAATATAGTATTTTCACCGAAACGTCGAGCGATCCACAGTCGGCGACGATTGATTACGATCTAAAGTGGATTTTGCGTGTAATCTTCGCGTTTCTTTTTTTCGCGATTCGCGGCGTTGAGGAATTTCAGTCCGTTCAAAGTCGCGGGTGCTTCTGGCGCGGCGGGTCGGCGGAGTCGTGAGTCTGTTTTGCCTCCGACTCTCGGCGAATTTGTTGCTGCATTTTTTCTTTTTTCTCTTTTTTTTTTTTTAGTTAAGAAGGCCTCTTGTTCTTCTCCCTAGGAAGGAAAGTGGAAGATAAATCACAGAAGTACACCACGCACGCAGAGAGGACACATTGCACTCCTAGTATACCTATTACTTAGTAAAGATATATCGGCGAGCGGATCACCGCACTAACTCTCACAAAACACTAGCTCTCATCGTGTCGCAAACGGCGATTTGGCAGTAACATTCGTATATGTATACACACACACACACACACACACACACACACACCATATATATTTTATATATATATATATATATATATATATATATATATATATATATATATATATATATATATATATATATATATATATATATATATATATATATATATATATATATATATATATATATATATATATATATATATATATATATATATATATATATATATATATATATATATATATATATATATATATATATATATATATATATATATATATATATATATATATATATATATATATATATATATATATATATATATATATATATATATATATATATATATATATATATATATATATATATATATATATATATATATATATATATATATATATATATATATATATATATATATATATATATATATATATATATATATATATATATATATATATATATATATATATATATATATATATATATATATATATATATATATATATATATATATATATATATATATATATATATATATATATATATATATATATATATATATATATATATATATATATATATATATATATATATATATATATATATATATATATATATATATATATATATATATATATATATATATATATATATATATATATATATATATATATATATATATATATATATATATATATATATATATATATATATATATATATATATATATATATATATATATATATATATATATATATATATATATATATATATATATATATATATATATATATATATATATATATATATATATATATATATATATATATATATATATATATATATATATATATATATATATATATATATATATATATATATATATATATATATATATATATATATATATATATATATATATATATATATATATATATATATATATATATATATATATATATATATATATATATATATATATATATATATATATATATATATATATATATATATATATATATATATATATATATATATATATATATATATATATATATATATATATATATATATATATATATATATATATATATATATATATATATATATATATATATATATATATATATATATATATATATATATATATATATATATATATATATATATATATATATATATATATATATATATATATATATATATATATATATATATATATATATATATATATATATATATATATATATATATATATATATATATATATATATATATATATATATATATATATATATATATATATATATATATATATATATATATATATATATATATATATATATATATATATATATATATATATATATATATATATATATATATATATATATATATATATATATATATATATATATATATATATATATATATATATATATATATATATATATATATATATATATATATATATATATATATATATATATATATATATATATATATATATATATATATATATATATATATATATATATATATATATATATATATATATATATATATATATATATATATATATATATATATATATATATATATATATATATATATATATATATATATATATATATATATATATATATATATATATATATATATATATATATATATATATATATATATATATATATATATATATATATATATATATATATATATATATATATATATATATATATATATATATATATATATATATATATATATATATATATATATATATATATATATATATATATATATATATATATATATATATATATATATATATATATATATATATATATATATATATATATATATATATATATATATATATATATATATATATATATATATATATATATATATATATATATATATATATATATATATATATATATATATATATATATATATATATATATATATATATATATATATATATATATATATATATATATATATATATATATATATATATATATATATATATATATATATATATATATATATATATATATATATATATATATATATATATATATATATATATATATATATATATATATATATATATATATATATATATATATATATATATATATATATATATATATATATATATATATATATATATATATATATATATATATATATATATATATATATATATATATATATATATATATATATATATATATATATATATATATATATATATATATATATATATATATATATATATATATATATATATATATATATATATATATATATATATATATATATATATATATATATATATATATATATATATATATTTTATATATATATATATATTTTATATTTATATATATATATATATATTATACCTACATATAATATCGATGACGTGGTCGGCGTGGACGACGCGCGGCATCGTCGCGGACAAGAAAGACACTTTTTCCAATTGTTATAATACAAAATATGGAGAACAGCGCGCGCGCGAAATACGAGGCATACTAGCGTGGCTAGTGGTTTTTTGCTTGGTCGACGCGATTCGCAGCCAATTGGCTCGAGTAGACGAATACTCGTGCGACTCCCATCGTGCAGTCGTAGGGAGCGAAGTTCAAGTACCATCGTTCGTGTATACTCAAGTGGAGCTTCGTGCATCAAACGTGAGACCGCGTGTGATTATTAGGCGATCGTTCGTATCGAGTCAGATATCTCGAGCTCGTTCCCCGATAAAGATTCCACAAAAAAAAAAAAAACTTAAACTGATTCTGAGAAAATTTTCCTGGGCAGAAAATAACCGCGAATGAAATTCACGAAACGGAAATATTCTAGTATATCCGAAAATATTCTAGCATCCAACTGATCCTCCCTTTGCACATTTCCTCTTACGTATTTCGGTACAATTGATCCAAATGGAAAATAGCCGAGTATCGAGAAACGTCCATCCAGTCTATATCGGTATCGAGCTGAAAGCTACGTTCGGTACTCGACGCCACCCTATGTAGAATGGAAAATTCGAGGGACCCACCTGTCAGCGGAGTTATCTATCGGAGTTATCGGCACATCAGCTCTCTCTCTCTCTCTCTCTCTCTCTCTCTCTCACTCTCTCTCTCTCTTTGTGTGTCTCTATTTCTGTATCTACCCCTTCGCAAATCCTCTATGCAATTGCAGTCTTTTTCCAAGCGCCCGTCCAGCGACTCGTAACTCACCGCGACTAAACGTGACATACAGCCGAGACGCGACAAGGAGAGACGCTCTTCGTGGCCGTTTCTCATAGCCGCGACACACTTTTCCCCCTCGCGAAATAAACGGAACCAGGCAGAGACGGACTCGTCGACCTTCATCGGCAGTCGGTGTCTCCTATCTGCTTGGTGGCGCGATTGATGGCTGCGATCGTCGTCGTCCTGCATTCTTGCGTAATGTCAACTGCGTGAATGCACTCTGATTTGGACAAAAAATTTACCCCGCGCTCTGTCTGTATCTGTGTGTTTTCTGCGACGTCGTCTTGCGAGAAAGCGTGCGTCGTCGGCCGGCGAATAAGCGCAATGTCCTTTCTTGGTCAACGATAGACAGATTGGACGTTATTGCGTGCGATTCTGGGCGTTTCATAAGGACTGTAATTTCCTCGTGATTCGTTTTGTCGTTCTTCAGCAACGAGAACGCAGTATTCTCGAGTGACAATTCCCTCCCGCGACTTTGTGCCTTCGTTATACATTCGCGTATAATCGAGCGCGATGAAACGAAGGATCCTCGTCCGCTTGGGAAATTCGCTATGAGAAACGGCGGGGAAACAGAGCGACCCCCGCGTTCCTCCCGGCCTACACTGTCGAGATTCGAGCTGGCGATAAAACGCGAATTCTCTCTGTCGCTGTTTCAATATTACCGCGAGGCATCGGAATAACCAGCATTGCTTCGTCCCTTCGAACGATCAAGCCAGATAAAAACGTGCATCGCGTGTATCGCGGAATCCAAATCTGCGCCGAACAGGCAACACGGACATATCTGCGAGTTCTCTCTCTCTCTCTCTCTCTCTCTCTCTTTCTCTCTCTCTGAATATAATTACATTTCCGGAATGCGCTCCGGGCAGACATATCGGAGCTACCGATTTTGGATTCCACGAATAAGCCCTCTCCCATTCCTCCCGTATACACCTCCAATTTCCCGACCAACTCTCTCTCTCTCACTTACTCACTCACTCACTCTCTATCTCCCTCTCTCTCTGTACCGAAGGGAGGACATTACTCGTTCCAGTTCCGCGGTATCGATTTCTGTATGGAACTAGCGTTTCTGTCGGAAAATTTCACGTCGGAAACATCGTGAGATTTATCGCCGCATTTTACAAGCGCGACGTCTGAGACGCGACTCGCCCGTCGTTCCTATCCGTTTCCTCTAGTTTTGCCGTATGTTCTTCTCTCTCTCTCTCTCTCTCTCTCTCTCTCTCTCTCTCTCTCTCTCTCTCTCTCTCTCTATCTTTCACTCTAGTGTATACTTTCATACATCTCTCTCACATCCATACACACACACACACACACACATGTGCTCTCTCTCTCTCTCTCTCTCTATTTCTCCCCCTCTCCCCGCGCATCGATATATCACTGGAAACCGCCGCGCGTCCTTTCGAGCAGGACCGCGGCAGGAACAGTTCGCTTCGCTGCCCAGCGCCACCGATAAATTATCAACAGCATTCTATACGATTTCGGCGTCCTCCGGGCGCAGCAGAAGCACCTCCCGACGTTCGCGCCGGAAGAAACGCCGCGCGAAACGGATTCTCCCGACGCGTTTGCTCTACTAACGACTTTCCGCCAATCGGTAAGATATCTCTCTCTCTCCCTCTCTCTCTCATTCTCTCTTTCATTCCCCCTCTCTTTCTCTCTAGTCTAACTTTCCTTCTTATCTACGTCGTCTATGTCGGCCGTCGGCGATCAATCTTGTTTCCTGATTCCATCTCGTGGCGATTTTAAGCGATAAGCGATGCGCAGACAACCACGAAGGCGCCGAACGACAGCAGGATGGTCGACGAACCGCTACCGGCCGAGCCACTCTGATGAATTTTCACCGATGTATCTGAAACGAAGCGTGTGCCGATGATATTCGATCCTGCGATTCGACTTTCCTCGAATCAAGTTGTAAATAAAATAGAGCGACATCTCGAAAGAGTAAAATTACTATTCCAATAAGAAAAAAGGAATTTGGTTGGATCAACCAAATGTCTGATAAAATGTGAACGAACCAGAAATTCTAGTTTAAGTTATCAGAATTCGGTTCGAGTTAACAAAGTTCCTCGTTAAGCAGAAATCTTGTTTGCTTAATCAGAATCTTTTCAACTTACAGAACAAAGTTCTGGCAACTTCTCAAGCGGAATTCTAATACGTTCGTATTTCACCAGACATTAGTCAATCCTATGCGCGAAATTTTTTTTCCCGTAAACTAAAAAAAATAATGAAATAAAACATCTGTAAATTATGTAACTAAATAAGAGAGCAATGGTCTCTGTGTTTTTCATTCGCAATTTCGTTGATTACGATGGGAATAGGCTACAATTAAAACTTTCAAAAAGCTTTCATCAAACGTATAAATATACGCGTGAAGCCTGTGAACACGAAGGAAATATCTCAATTTAAACGAAAGAGATCCAAGTATAACAGAAAGATCCGCAGAAATTCGTCAAGAGAAGCATATGAATAAAGAGCTGTCTCCAAAATAGAAATACTGCGACATAAAATCTGAATAAGAGCGGATCTAAAAGGTTCCCTTGGGAACCTTTGGATTTTGATTGACCTTTCGTAGCGCACAGCCAGCCTCCACGAGCTTCATTGCTCGCCTATCTTGACTATTCAGCGCAGTTTCCCGTCATGCATATTTTCGCTCCTAATTGAAATCCTCGCATTTTCGGGCAACGATACGCCCGATACACGACAATGGAATCCCGCCGGGAGCGCACCGGCCAGAAATATCGATACGAATCAGTGCAGACGTGCGGCGCAGCGCGGATGGTGACGTACCTGTCGTGGTGGGACCCATCCCGGAGCCGGACCCCTCGCTGTCGTCGTCGTCGTCGTCGTCGTCGTCGTCGTGATTGTCACCGTCCTCGTCGTCGTCCAAGCCGCCGTTGGCGCGCGGTCTCCAATACGGCCCGTCTCCGCTTCCGGACCCGTCCAAAGCCTCGTCTCCCAGGAAAGCACCAGCGTCAGGTGACGATGCCAATTGAGACTGCACCATCTGGCCGAACAGTGCGAAACACATTGACAATCGTCTGTGGCGTCAAATATCGAGTACCGTCGCGCTAGTTGACAATTGTTGTCATTGTCGCCGTTATTCGGAAAAATGTCCATGAAAATTGGAAGGACGAGGTACCGAATATAAAACGATCGTAAATAGCGCTTTTGGAGCGACGCTGCAGTGGAAAAACGCGCGTGTTGGATTATCCAAACGCGTTACTCGAAATTACTCTCGAATACGTTTACGCGCGTGTCATTTATTTATCGTCTCGAATAAAGCGCCGCTTTCGACGAGAGCGCTCGCTTATTGATCGGTTGCTCTCGATGAAACACACTGCTGCTTGCGAGCATGAGCTCGGGTCTGAGTCAAAGTATAATTACGAGACCGTCGTGAGAGTAAATGAGACGGACGTAACGCGGTCGGAAAAATCGACTCCAAATCATTACGAATTCATCGACAAATCTCGAAGACGCTCGTCGGAATTATGAAAGAACGACAGTTTTCTCATCGGACACCTGTCGTCGTTTATCCCGAAGATCTTGATTAACCCAATTGACCCTATCGAAGATCAATTGTACAAAAGTGGCGTCTAATTAATCGCCAACTGTTCCTGACCCGCGGCTAATCGCGTCTCGCGCGAGACAACGGCGACATAGGTTTACATTCCGCTAAAAACCCACACGACCGGTGGTCTTTAATTTCATAGCCGCCCGCGCGGATTCTTAACAGCTCTGCTGGTCCGCACCTGCCAATATCTTTAGTCGCTATTCATCGGTTTACCGGCCTGTCGTATACCACCATCCGTTCGATCATGTTGCACATACGTACACAGCGGCTCGCGGAAGTATACGCCTTTCTCAATCGTCGACTTCGGAGGATCGATACCTGCTCTCCGTTTAAAAGACGAAGCATAGTAATTATTGACTGCGAGACATTCGCTGTGTTACTTAAGGGGGCAAGTTATCTTTTCGCAGGTTAGAGAAGAGCAACGATATTTGGGAGTTTATTTGAAGGAAATTGCTAACTGAATATGCTTGAATTTTGTATACTTAATTAATATATTTGCATTTTAAAAATCTATTGTATTTTTGTAAGAAAATAATTTATAACTACTTCCTGCGCGAAAGTAACGTCACAGCATCCATTGCCTGCAGCTCTTGCCGTTCTGGTTCACATGGTTATTTTCATTTCAATTTTTATTTTTGTTTTTTTTTCTATCAAATAGAACAGACGAATTTCGCCAAAAAAATGCAAATTTCTTCTTGAAAATTCAATTGTTCGAAAATGAAAATTCTAACACGAGAGACTACAACTATAACACTATTTTATAAAAAAAAGTTATTTTTATTTATTTATTTTTTATTTGAATATTGTACAAATGTGCAAACCAATCATGAAAATCGAGGAGAAGCGCAAGAGCTGCAGGCAATGAATGCTGTGACGTCATTCCCGTCCCGCACAAAAGATAAGTCTTGCTTTCCTTTCCTACCTAACACCTTGTTTTATCTTCACTTACACGCACTTAGTTCCTCATGATTTCTCCTATCTGGTCCCTCATATCTAACTCGATATACTACCCAGACAGCACCACGAATTCTGAAAGTATTCTTACATTTTTCTCCTTTCCTGAATTGCAGTTTTTTTAAGAATTCGTAGAAGAATTCTTATTATAAGAATAATTCAGAAAGTTACATGCATCACGATTGGATCTGAGACCTTCTTGAAGTATTCATATAGACTAATTCTTAAAAACAGAGAGAGGATTACAAAAACCCATTATCATCTGGCAGCAACATTATACAAATATTATAATTTTCCATTCATATGTAAACATTGAAATAGTCTAAAAAACATTAATGTTTGATTAAAAAAAAAAAAAAATTGGGTTTGCTAACACTACGTACGTTCGTGTCTCTTCGTGGTTTCGAACCCGAGAGATGGTCGGTCACATCCATCCTCTAATCGGCGTTGCTTAACTAAAGATTGCGCGGAAGACAATCATCTCAATAACTTTGACGATATTCTTGGAAGTAATGTAATCATGTTCATTATATAATGTATACTCATATATGTTTATATAATAGCAATATCACACGTAATAGTTATATTGTTAAGAGAAGAATTACAATATTGACATAATATTATTGTTATTTGGTGCTTACCGAGTAACTCTTTTCTTTTCCAGGTGAAATAATAAAAAATTATTAAAATACAATCAGTTTTCGGCCGCTCGAAAGAAATAAAGCATCCAAAATTTAAAAAATGGATTATATAGAATTAAAAAAAGAATCGCCATTATATTCTAAGATAATAAATTAACAATTTATAAAAACATACGAGCCTGGTTCAATTATACTCACAATTCAATGAAATATCAAAGGTTTCACTTTTCTCTTTATTATATCGAGATGTTTATTAATGAAGAAATCTCTAATTATGATACATATTAGTAAACAAAGTAACAATTATATAATTGTTTTAGTATAATTATGATTATATAACAGTCACATTATTGAGTAGAAAATCATAATTAACAATTATGTAGTTGTTTAATGTTTACTGGGAACAAACTCAAAACATTGAAAGCATTTGCTGAACGCAATCACAGGAAATAAATGTAACAAATAAAGCATTTCTAATTCTACAAATAATTTCTCATAAATTCTCGGAATATCTCAAGTACTTACAAATAAACCTACTCAAAAGTTACATTTCGATTTCTTTCTAATTTGGCACAAATGTAGAAGTACAAAAAATATTTAGGTCATATTTTTTCATTTTGGCTCACTTTGAGTTACACCGGCAGTTTATAGCTTTTTAACGTTCTCACTTCTATCATCGACAAAAATACATAGTAAACCTTTACTTGTTAGTCGCGTAGTATTTGTTATAATGAACTTTTCAGGAATACTTCAGGACAGACTGATTGTTGTCAATTCGTCTAAAATCCTCCAGATATTCATTTTTCTAATTTTTTAGGTGTCCCTCAAAATGATTTCTCTATGAATTTCTGTTCATCTTTGTGCTACCTGGGTAAAATCACTCAAAACCAAGTCCTTAATTATACGTATAAAATTGAAACATATTCATTTGGCAGCTTTCTTTAAATAAGTTCCCGAATACTGCTGTTTCTTCTGGCCTCGAAAAATAATTTTCCCCCTTGATGTCGTGCTATTGCAAAACTGGCTGTGAAACGACGGCGTAATTGAGCAATATAATACAGTATAAACGGATACGTCGGAAAAGCGACGAGTATTCCCCGGATACATTCGTGATTAAGCGTACGATGAGTCGCGCAAAAATCCGACGTCCCGTTATGGAATTACGAGACAGCCACCATGTACGACGAACGTGCTAATTTATCGAGCAACAGTTGATTTATCGGAAGCAAGTGGCGCGGCGGTTAGACTGACCGATCGCGGCGGACACCCTGTATACTCGCGTACATGCGTGTCTCGTGATACTGTAAATCAGAAGTAAGCGGCCCGATTCCGTGACACGCGAATTAACATGCGTGTGGGCATTTACGCGTGTGTGTCCCACACGCGGTGGTTGTCAACTCGAGCGACGCCGCCGAGGTATTCGCGGAGTAATATCGATTGGCGAATAAAGGCAAACGTCCGCGCGGCTTGTTTGAAAATGATTCGCTTCACTTAAAAATTTATATCCTAGACTCCAACGGTACAGTCTTCCAAAGATTTCTCTTTGGATGATAGACTTTCAAACGAGAGTCTTCGAGAGATTCATTGTGCGTTTTACCTGCGGATCGATTTCTTCACAATTTTCCACATCAGCGTGGATTACATTCCAACCTGTACCTGTACAAAGGGCAAACTTAATCGCCCCGATCAATCTTACGATGATTAGACCGTTTGCACCTGCTCGACACAGAATGAACACGCGAAACTTCGAATGAGATCGTAATCTCGAAACCCCCGTTTGATTAAAAAAAAAAATCTCCCTACGAAGATACTTTATCTAACTACATTTTCAGAGGTCGAGAACATTTTGTAAAATTATTCCTCACCTATTTCTTCCATCCACTTTAGCCTTACGCAGAAATATTCCGTTAGTGTAACTAAATTTTCTGTCACTTGAGGATCAAATAAAAAAAAAACTCGATTGTAGGGACAGATTTCTATAGGAGGTTTCTACTCAGCCAATTAGCCTCGGTTATCTCAACCGAATGTTAATGCGGCTAAATGTTAATTCGGACGAATATTTTCAGTCACGGTAACAGAGGTATTATTTCTCGTTCGCGAGTTTTTTCTTTCTAGCACCCATTTAGTTGTCCGAAAATTCTTTTCAATGTTATTCAGAACACTCTTTTATCGACAAAAGTGTCTGTAAATCTATGAGTTTTTCCATTAATTTTAAAGTGAAATAGAGAATCGAGCATGACACATATTGCTCGTAGCAAATTCACGGAAAAAAACTTCAGTTTGTGCAACTGAATGGAAACCAGACGAAAAATTTTCGCTGACGTGAGATAATATCTTTGCTACTGTAACAAACATTCGTTTGAACATTCAACCGCATTAAAACTCAGTTGAGGTAACTGAAAGCAATTGGCTGAACAGAAATCTCATGCGAGAATCTTTCTGTTCCTACAATCGTGGATTTTCACCCGGTTGTGAGAAAAAACGTTTGGTATTTCTGACTATAATCCCGTAGAGAAATAGTGTCAATTATGGTCATAAGAACCATTCTTTTGTCAAATTCTACTATAATGTCAACGAAAATAGATGCATATCACCATTCTCGTGTTAGAGCCATAAAAAAATACATTTAGGGCTAAAGACAATTATAATTTTGGTGAGATCAGCCATTTCTTTCTCCTAGTGCGGATAACAGAAAATTCAGCTACACTGTTTCTTCCGTGCGCGACGAACGATCGTAGATTGCATCCGCGGCAAATTTCCAAGAGCGATTGTGTTATTTATGTGAAAAGAATTGTATAATACAGCGTAAATTTTCACACGTGACGAATATCGGCCCGGCATGAGCACCCGTGTGCGCCTACAGGTGAGATCCGTCCACGCGGCGACACGTGCCTCGCGCGCACCGTCTAATCCTCGTTCTATGAATAATTCTAGATTAGACGGAAATTTATGATTCGTCTAGCACGTACGTCTGGATGTTATGGGTCGGCGAGCGGGCTTTCCGCACCAATGAACTATCGCGATAGTCGTTCGCGAATTGACAATTCGCTTTACACGGTCTGAAGTCTGCACCTAGCGCGAAAACGGAGAAAATGTAGCCTCGCGGCGAGTTTTTTACATGTGTTGAGCGGTACATACAGCTGTCAGTCGGTCTTCCGTTGTGCCTCGCGCAGAAAAAAATACATACTGCAAATCTCACGTAAATTTTACTTGTCGTAAGAGTATTTCGTAAATTTACATTTCACAGACCTATTACAAGTTTATCGTAAAACATCAAGTTTGCTGAAAATATATTCTGAATTCTAGCAGGTTCAGCATTTCTACTAAGAATATCAAATTAAAACAAGAATTCGATAAAATTTTACGATATATTTATATTCTTGTAAAGAGGATAAATATGCTGAGCTTTTCTGAAACTTGTCAATATATTTGAGAACTATTATCAAGAGATATTCTTTGTTGAAGACGACTGCTACTTAAAAGAAATAAACCGAATAATCGCTCTTCTTAGCAACAGAATCTTTCTCCGTGTACGTTCGCGCGCACGCACCTCGCGTTATTTTATCACGATTGTTGGTTGTCAAATAAGAAGAAATGAAATTCGTGTCACGGACGCGAACGAACAGACTTTTCGATTCGACCGCAAATCACGGAGGGAACGTGATTTTTGTCCTCCCTCTCTGCTCTTCATTTGCTATTTGGGGATTCCTTCTTTCGACGGGTAAAGTCGAGTGTCGCGCTCGTCGTCGTCGTCGTGCCGACGAGCACGAACGATGCGTTTGAATCCGAGCAGATGAAAATTGCAGGCGATACAGCGAGCGGCACGATCTAATCTGAGACGAATCCACTCAAGACCGAGCGACAAATTACGGCTCATGCACTCACCTGATTAATGTGTCTCAATTGGTCAATGAACGATCTGATGTTCGTGTTGTCGTAGGAAGTCTTCTTCGACGACATCGCCGTTATGGTAAATTCAGGATTGTATCGTTGGGCGGTCTGGCTGGAATCCACCACGGTTTTCGAGTATCTGTAATCACAGGAAGAAAACATTCAAATGGGAAAGTTGAAGAGAAATCCAGATCGAACACGACGAATGCACCAGTAAGCAGATCAACTGACGGATCGATGATACGCGCTTCATTTTCATTTTGTAAGCAAACGCTCGTAAACTAAGTAAAAAGATAAAATATATATCTCTTAGAAAAAAAGCAGAGAAATGATACATTATATGACGTATGATTAATGTGTGATCGAGTAAATCAATATGTAAGTGAGGAATGGTGGATTTTAGAGAGCGGCATAACTGTAAAAAAAGGTTAACATTCGAGTTGCACGATTGTACTCGACAAAAATGTTGCACGGTTGAACGATAATTTCATATTTTCAAAAATTGATGAAAAATCAAGGGATTACATTTGCACACGGAAAAAATATATCTCTTTTTTCATATGTAAATTCTTTCTAATTTTATCATATTTCTAGTAGTGCAGGAATAGACTGTCAGTAAGAGGTTCGCCTTGCTAGGGAAATTTTTGTAATATAGTATATTTCAGTTTCTAAAATATGAGTAACAGATGCGAGATAAAAGGGTATAGGGAATGGGTGTGCAGAAGGTGAATGTACCCCCCGGTTACGAAATTCCACGGTAATTTTTGCCATAACATTCTCTGCGTGTAAAGCCGTTTACGCGAAACGAACGGCTCGTAACGCGTTTAAATACTTAACGGGGAATCGTGCGGATATAGGAAGATGCACCGTGTGAGATATGCATTTCCTTCGCGGGTTCGAGCCTAGTAAATCGAACATCACTCCAATATCGTGCGTGGCTTCTATCTTCCCGTATGATAAGCTCGCCACGCCACGCCACGCCACGCCTCGCCTCTCTACTCTGTTCTCTCTCCCTTCGTGTGCTTTCCAATATGCTACCCAAACGAGCTTGTAAACCAAGCGGGCAGGCAGCAGGCAGGCTGCTGCATACATTCGTTAGAATCTTAATGAGGCGCAATGCTGCTCATATTCCGGCGTGAAGAGATTAAACCACGCAGTTTGTGACGGTGTCTTGAAACGTCTCGATTTATATAACGCATATTTCAACACAATATCAACAAATATATCTCATATCATTCTCCAATTAATTTGTATTATTCCATATGGACAAGAAACAACAACTCCGTGAGCGTAACTCCTGAATTTTCTGTTTCTAGTAGTCACTTGGGGACCGGATGAAGAACTCGGTTGTAGGAACAGAAAGATTCCCGTAGGAGGGAATCCTTTCTGCTCAGCCGGTTACTCTCGGTTATTTCAACCAAGTACTAATGCGGCTGAATATTCGGACGAATGTTCTCAGTCACGGTAACAGAGATATTATTTCTCGTCAGCGAGTTTTTCGTCCGGATCTCATTCAGTCGCACGAACTGTAATCTTTTTTCTGCGTGAAACGATCTCTTCGCGTTCTAATGCGCACGACTAATTCGTGCAACTTGACTAATCGCGATGCCAATTGGAAGTTTCGAAAAACTCTTAACGAGTCAAGCAACTTTGCGAAAAGTCAGGTCTCTCCGAGGGAGTTCGGAGAGTTGTCGCGAAGCCGCGAGAGAGTTTCAACTTGGCGTTGGCAGTCTTCTGATTTTATTAGTGTCACTCCGTTATATTGCGCTCGTGAGGAACGTTATCACCGTGGACTTTCGCAACGCAACGCGGTTGAAAATGTCGCGAAACCGAACCGGTACGCGCTCGTGTATTTTCAGCGCTTCGGCGTACGGTGGTTGTACGCCGAGATGTTCCGCGAAGAGACGAAGCGGAGAAATGCGACGCCGCGCGAGAGATTCTCTCACTCTCTCTCTCTCTCTCTCTCTCTCTCTCTCTCTCTCTCTCTCTCTCGATCCGTCGCGCGTTCGTCCGGCGTCCATCCATACGTCCGAGCGAGCGAGCGAGCGAGCGAGCGCTCGTTTTATCTCTCGCGCTTCTATCTCGTGGGGTGCTGACCGACAAAAGAGACCAAATCGCGCGGTTCGTTCGCGGAATACGCCGCCTTCCGTCTTGATCGCCGTGCGATTAAGTGTCCGCGAATCAATGAACCGCGGGCGCGATACACGCGCAACCGGGAACAAATATATCCGCCGGAGGAGAGATAGAGAGAGAGAGAGAGAGAGAGAGAGCCTGAGACGGCAACATGCCGCGGCAACGGTACTTCACTCGCGGCTGCGTCTTTACCGGCGAAGAGGACCGGTTTGTTACGCTTCGCTATTGCAGATTGTATTTCGCGCCACTGTGTGTAATGAATATCATGTGTAATAATTACATCGTGAACCGCGCGTTACGAGATAACGTCGGGCTATCGAACGCAAATCGTGACACTCGGGCTGAAAACACTTGTAACGCGCTCTATTAGTGCGATATCGATTTATCAACGTGGCCAGGAGCTTATTGAGAAACGGATGAAATGTTTCATATAGACGCGGCCTTTCAATTTTACCGGGTTCCTAGTAGCGCGACGAATGGATTGGTCCATCCTGCTAAGAAATGCAGTGAATCTTTCAATAACACACTTCAGTTCCTAAAATATAAACAGCACATATGAGGTGAAAAGATAGTGCAGAATGTCCCTTTATTCCTCGATTGCAAAATTCTATAGCAATATTTACTATAAAATTCCTGCATTTTGCACGTTACCACGATTACACCAGTCTTTGGTACGTTCGTGCAATTGTATCACGCGCGCACACAGTTGCTTATATTGTCGTTACAATATCGTTTCATCAGTCTTAAAGAAATTCTCCCGCGTCTGTGTTCCGAGATTCCGAGCGCGCCTCGTTCGATTCTACTTAGAGAACTGATTCCTGCTCACCACCGCTCACGAGAAAAATATTGCGCGACGCGGCGGCAAATAGGCGTTCCAAAGTATTATTCAGCATAGATAGCTCGATAGCGAATTGAAATATCGCCGAAGTCGGGAGCTGGCTCCGCTCTCGCTCACGGTGCTCCTGAATGCCGGCCATTCACGGAACGACCTCCTTCGAGAGATCGTCCTGGTCCGGTGTGTCATGCTCTCCCCAGTTTTCCCGCATCATCTTCCAGTGATTTTCCTCGCGAACTTTTCTGCGCCGCCGCTCCTCCCTCCTTTCCGCTAAATCGCGCCCCGCGGCGTCTCTGCCGGGTCATATTTTCTCTTTAAAGCGCGTTATACGGAATGCGCGAATCTCATCAGACTCCTCTCTCCTCTTTCTCTCTCTCTTTCTTTCTCTCTCTCTCTCTCTCCTGTCGGTCGACCAATGGCGCTTACAAATTAAGAAGATGTGAAGGAGGTGAAGAGAGCGAAAGACTATGATTACGGCGATGTTTTCCAAAATTATTCTTCTCGGACGTGAGACGCGCAAAGGCGTAGTAAAATCAGAGAAAAATCGATCTCAAATTCAGCGTATACGGAAAGGTACACATTTATCGGAAGTAATAACGTCATGCATAATAATAAGTTCGCGCACGCACATATTGAATTTCACGAGAGTATGTTTACTTTGCTGTTATATGTACCCGCGTTACACATCGTTAAAATATAAAACCGAAATAAAACTATATCCATGGAACTGCAATTTTCATTTTTAACGGCGCACGTAACGCTGTGTGGTGATAACGCTGTGCACCGCGGCGAGCGAGTTAATTAAAATCCTCGTGCGGTGTAACACACACGGGGAGAAAAAACGTTATAAAATATAATATACGTTATAAAATATAATATACGACGGATAAAGGGAGTATTCGCACGTTCCCCCATTCTTCTTTCTGAGATAATCTCGCACGTGAGGGAGCGCTGCCGAAAAAATTGCTGCTGCACGGAGGGAGGTGTTCACGCGTGCTAATACGAACGATTGCCTCTGACACAGAGTGCACTTTGTAGCGATATCACGCATAAATTGATTCCGGGATACGCGACTCGCATTGCGAGTCGTTCATATTCGTCGTGAATAATAAAACGAAATTAATGAGTAATCGTAATAATTATGTACCCGCGACGGGATCCAGGCTGGTTAGGAGAGGAGAAAGAGTGGAGAAAGAGAAAGAGAGAGAGAGAAAGAGAGGGGATGGCTCGCTCTCTTCCGCACCCCACCTGTCGCTTCTCTCTTCCTCTCTCGTTGCTTTCTATCCCGGAGTTCCTCTTCATCCCTGACGCACGATACGCTGTATCTCTCCGAGAGGCGGAGGAACGAAGACAAGGTGAAACGAGCCGACAAAAACTGGTTCTACGCGATCGAATGTGAAAACTATCCAAAGCGAACGGTGCGAAGTTTCCACCTCGGTGTGCGTGCACAGAGTGTTTGATAATTGGCGTTATATATCGTGCGTGTATACACACGCACGCACGCACGCACGCACGCACGCACGCACGCACGCACGCAATCGACAAACAGATAAATCTTCGTCAAAGACTGTGTAGTTTGCGCGCAAACAAATTTTTTCTCCCGGGGGAACGATTCCGTCTCTTTTATATGCTGCACCGATGGAATATTCCCGCGATAAAAGGTCCAATCGATATTCGCGTTTCGATGGTGTCTGATGGCGGACAATGAAATCAAAAATATGCGCGTTTTTATTTCTTTTTCGAAGAGCTCGATCCTCCGGCTTTTTCTGGCGCGCGAAAGGGAGAAAGGGAGGAACGCTTTGCCCGAAAATTGGTCAAAGGACATGCGGGTGAGGTGGAGACGCGAGAAACACCCTTCATATATTCGCGTACGGATGACTCCAGCCGAGGCTGTATTCGCGCATCGATCTCTAGCGCGCGGTCAAAATGGAACGCGCTTTGGGGCAGATTAATATTTCAATGCCTTGAGAATGGAGGCAGAAAGGATGCCGCCATTATTCCACGGATTCCGTCAATTTCACGGAGTTCATGTCGTCGCGGTCGATACGGCTCTTGGTTTTCGAAAGTGCGCTCAAAAGCGCAACCGCGTCACGGGTAAGATTTTTTCAACTGGGTTTCATGATAGGGAAACGAAGAGAGATCGGGAAAAACTCGCGCCGGCCCGTACGGTT